ACTCCCCCCCACCCCCCACCCCCTCAATGGCATAGCATTGTTGGCCGGTATCATTTAGGACCGATTTATTAAAAACAATCCCATCTTCTATATCTAGATAACCTACATATATTTCACCAGATATATCGTTTTAATGTGTCAAACTGACGGTTTTGCTGATAAGCTTCGGAATATGAGCAATCAAGCACTCCAGACTGACTACCAATTTAGATACGGTTGTTTGCTGATGTTTATATTGTAACAAATACAGCACCAGCTGTAGCGGCGGTTAAGCACAGTATATCTGAAACGTTCACTCAATATATTTAGAGACCAATATGATTATATACCGAGAGAGAGCGAGAGAGAGAGAGAGAGAGTAGAATTTGGCCAAAGACGATACGTAGGCTATACATGAATTCGGGTCTGGAGGGATACAGCTTGGCCTGGGTTCCTTAACACCCCTGTCTATAGTTTAACCTGGAACAGTCTATGACCTGATGTACTCTGGCCAAGGTCAAGCAATACCCGGATTTCCTCTATTTACTCTGGGCAAGGGTTATTTGGCCTTTGCGCGACACCAGTGCCTTCGTATAATTGTAGGTGCAATTCGCAAGATAGCAAAGAAAGTTGGGACGAGTGAAATGGGGCACGGTGTTTCTCTCTTAAAAGGTGCCGATTCAATGAAAAAAAATTATGACAGTCTTCCAAATTATCTTTGTTGATCCATCTTTTTGACCGTCTTCCATTTCAGTCGATGAAAAAGGATGGGGAAAAGAAACCATGGTATAAAGTCTGATCTTTAGAGAGAGAGGATAACTTTAACCTTAAATAATGAAAATTTAAAGACAATTTAATACTATTTTACGACTATTTGTATGGGTTCCTTGCGGCGCGTAACATACGTACCCGGTACCAGTAACTTATTATTCATCGCCGTATTAGATGTCTGAAAAAGGTCCTCGGCTTGTGTTCGAATGTACCTGTAGAATATGGACATGACTAATAATTAAAAAAAAATAACATTAATAAAGGTAATGATACTGTTTACTGTCACGAGCAAATTACCTGTGTGACAACGTCTCCTTGTTTCTGACCACGCACCTGACATGAATCAACTGGTTTATTAGCTAACTACCGCGCATGCGCAAAAAGTGCGCTGTGTAAAATAAACACCTGTGTTTACTGCCTGGTTTTTATTTAATTTGCTTTCTAGAGTCATTTTGAGAAATTGTACTGGTTATGTTCTGTTGATTGTACACACTGTATATATTGTTATAAATAAGTTGACAAGTCGATAAGTCGCTGGTTCCTTTTTTTTAAATTTATTTTACAGTTTTACAACTCAAGTAACAATTGAAAACATCATGGTCTCACCTACATGAAAACATGGAGACCGCCACGTTCCACACAATGCAACAACTACCCTCTTGTAATTTGCTCACCAGAGGGACACGTGTCTCTCTCACAATGGCGTTGTCACCTCCAACACAATACAATTCTTGACATATATTAAAAAGGTAAACACGTCGGACTTTCCTTAGAATAACATTTACTTTTCCTTTAGGGATTCCCTTTGTATTTATTAGTGTTATATGTGGCCCCAAAGGAATTTGCCAGCCCTCATCCACTCTTGATAAGGAGATACTCCTTGTTGGCTAGTGTGAATGTTACTAACAAAATTCATTTGAAAACGGGAAGGTTTATTTTAGGACATTCATATCAGAATACCGACTTTTTTGACATGTTGACAGATGTGCCCAAATGTAAAAATTGACTGCAACAGGGCCATTTTTAAATCACTGGTTTTATTAATGCAGGTCTACTTATTCTGTACGTAAGTTGTATTTTGAGTACTGTCTTATACTGGCGGCGGGGGGGGGGGGGGGGTATCATCCTCGCTTCGTACTAGATCCATGTGCGGATGGATGATAAGGTTCTCTAATACATGTAGGTCTCCATTTCAAATTTCACCGCTAGGTGTCGCAGATTGTGGTAAATATACCAGAGGCCTCACAGAAGTTAACAATCAGTTGATTCGGGACAGGTGTCTGGTCTGAAACAAGAAGGCGTTGTCGTACAGGTAAGGTGTTTGGGGCATGCACAGTAAACGTGTCGTTGTTTTAAATGCTTATTAAGATTATTTCTCATGTCGATATTCCTCTTTATGATATTTTGAACCCCAGCCAATGACTATTTCAGATACATGTATCCAATACAACCTTGCATAATCAGTAGTAGCTCAGCATGTTACGCGACGTAATAAGTCCTTACGACTAGTTGCTAAAATTATTAAAGTGTCGTCAAAAAGAGATATTATTGTAGATAAGCTATTTCCTCTCTCTCGTACTTCACAGCACTGCTTCCTTTTCGCTGTTCTCCTAAACCATTCTCATTACTTATAAACTATATAAAACCCTTAACTTCCAGCACTCAGCCCCTGTTATATTTCAAAAAAATTTTGCAACTTAGCAGCAAAATGTAATATCCGTTAACTGTTTAGAGTAGCCTTCTATTCAGGCCTATGTTGCTGGTACAGATATCAGTCCAGAGCAGTGTCATATGAGCAAGCGAACAAGTAGTTATGAAGTATATATGTTCTGTCATATTTATTTAAATAAATCCATCACAAAATGTTAAAAATATGTGTCTGTTGAGTACTTAGAGGTGTATTTTAATGGTTGAGCACTTTAACTTTATTTTAGTAAGACTGATCACTCCTGTTAATTTCAAAATAATAAGCCTTTCAGTTTTTTTTCCTAAATGTGTTGTCAGTTTTGCATATATGTTGAAATAAGCGAAAAACAGCATATCTTTTGAAAAAATGGCCCGAGCATGCTGATTTTCAAAATCGACCTTCATTTTATTAATATTCATCAGTTCTGTAAGTTTTAAAACAAAGTGTAAAACAGTTTTCCACAAATCGTGTTATCACTAAAAGTGCTTCTGAAACTAGCGTTAATAATAATAATGTCTCATTCCCAGAGTTCGTTCTAACTCGGCACTTCTCACCCGACTATATATATTGAGCAATCAACACGTCGTTGGCTGAACTCCATAGCTCACAACAGAGACCACAGCACAAGCCGATGACTGTCCTCACCACCTTGCTTCACTGTGCCGCTATCTGTAAGCACTGCAGCCACAAAAGCGAAATACTTTTGTGTAATTACTGAAATCGGCACGAGCGAGACACTTTTTTAACGTAGTTCGTCATTGTGACCTGTCGAGCAGATACACATATACAAAGGCGAGGCACCTCTGTCAGGACGCGACCTCCTTGCCCATCAGTGCATTAATCAGGGATGTAATCAGACCTTTTTAAACTGTACGAAAAGATTTTCAAAATTCCCAGGTACAGCCAAATGTAGACTTAAGAAACAGATGAAGGGCAGATTAAATTATATGTGCCAAATATCATAGCTTAGTTTTCACCAGTAATAAAATCATTTAAGTTAAAAATATTCTCGCGTATATTATTTCACCCAGAATCAAGGCTTCTTCTAGGATTGGGTACAGGCCGTCCAAAATTGCCATCTGTAACTTCTTTCAAAATTTCAAGGCCTCCAGCTTTTCCAAGTGCATTGGCAAAAGCAGACGCACACTCACTAAGGCGAGACACCTTTGTTGAGGAATTCCAACAACACCAGGACTTGTTTTATTTTTTTTTTCTTGTCAAGGATATGGTATAGTTTAGATTGAAATGATTTTATCCGATTAGGACTCAAGCTGCAAGGTGAAAACTGAACGCGACTCACATTTAGTGAATTATTACACCTTTGATGAAGAATTCCAGTAACACCAGGGCTTGTTTTTTATTCTCTGTCCTGGGAAAACCATCACGTTGAATGCAGCACTGATCACTAACCCCCTCCCCTTCCTCCCCCCCCCCCAATCACTGGGACTCTGCAGCTGATGAAGGTCACTTGTTGACCGAAAAACGCTTTCTGCAACCAGTCCAGCCCCTCTCCCCCTACTGTTCTGTACGCCTCTTGCACAACCGGTTTCTTTAGGTCAAACTTATGCAGAGGTGAGGCGCCCCTGTTTACACCCAGTGAGGTGAGACGCCCCACTCCACGCAAGCCAAATATAGTACATTGTCCGCGATTAACAGTTATTTTATATCAGATCAGAACTGTAAGACCATGACACGTCAGATCATTCCCTCACACATACGTGAAATATATAAAATACAGCACTAGGGTCACTGTCAAAACACACGTCCCCAGGGGCCCAGCCTTGTACCGTGTTTTTTTTTTTTTTTTTTTTTTTTTGGTAAAAAGTAGTTTGACCAAGACATGAGCCGACCACCCCCAAAACAGGGTTCTTACTCGACTATGGTATAGATAAAATACAATGCGCTGAGCTTTACGAGATATAGAGCAGATAATTGGCGAGGCAAAGCCGAGACAACTATCTCTTTTATTTCTCGTACATATCAGCCCCGAGTGCTTTATCTGGCTTAAAGCACTCTTCATTAGACCTGGTAATAACTAATTAAACTAAACGGTTGGCACTTTGTCGCAAAACGGCACGCAAAACGAGTCGGGGTCACACCAATAGCTTCGCTTATCTGTGTCATTCAGCAGGTAACATAAAGCAGAAGTAACAATGGAAAACGACGCCTCTCTGTCTCAATTAATGGAAACTCCACCAAAAATCATTTTTAAGATGACATTAAAGATGAGTTGCTGAAGAGGTTCATGAAGCCGTTGGCTTGTTTTGAATTTTTTCAGGACTTGGCAGCCAGAATACCAGACAAAACGCAAGCATGTACTAATTGGGCCCTAAATCTTTTTAGTGAACGCCGTAAATCTGTTTAGTCCCTCGCCATAAAAAAAACCCACTGGCCCATTCCATGTAAAAAGGACGGTACCATCCTAATGAAAAAAAGTTGCGCGACCATGGAGAAAAAGACCCAATTCTTACCTGGAACTCAGATTCCTTCAGAAATTGTTTAAGTTGTATCGGTCGGAAATTAAAAGAAAATCACCCTTGAGGTGTAGGAAATGTCAAATATAAAAGCCAACTTGTGTTGTAGTAACCTCTGTTAATTGTTATATCTGGAATTATCAAATAAAACCTGAAACGTTCTTTTCTTCTAATTTCTTTTCATCTTCTTTTCTGCGAGATTACTGAGGAAAACATGCTGAAAACTTGAAGATATTTAATTCTATTTATACGTGTTCATCTTTTTCCTGCGCGATTACTGAAACTCGTAAGTTGATTAATGCTGAAGGTCCAGTGACCGTCCTATAAAACCTTCTACCAGGGTGGCAGATATTATTCTGTGGACATTTTTGCTGAGGCGACCCTGTAACGTTTAGCCAGATGGGAGCAATTAAATCTACACGCGTGCAGATGGCAATGTACCAGGGCCCTGTAACTCAAAAGCATATCGCGTATTGCGAATAGCGATATCACATAGAGGCTACAGTGCATTATATGGGGCTAGTATGGTATGGAGTCAAGACGCTTGCGCTCGCTCGCAATGCGCGATGCACTCGAGTTAGGGGGGCCTGGTCTGCAGGAGCTCAGTGAGAGCTGGGCTTCGCGTTGATGTGATTACCGCTTGTTACGCAACATGCCTGTGGTTGTCTGTCTGTTAAAGGACTGTTTTATTGTCACGGATGAGCAATAAACTGTCTTGATTACTGTCAAGGGGACTTGGCTGGGACTTGCTAAGTGACAGTGCCTGAGAAGTTATGCAAACAATTAGTCATGTAATTATCCTTGAGATTTCAGCGCAGGGTGACAGTACAGAGATTAGCCATCCATTTAACCAGAGACATATTTCTTAATATCTAGTGAAAAATCAATCTCTGGCCCTGGTAGAGGGTACATATATTATAGGGAAACTTGAAAAACCCACCCCGTGACGTTTGGCCAGATGGTAGCCATGAAATCTGCACGTGCACAGATGGCATCGTACCTGCTCTGTAGGAGCTATTACAGGAGATTCCTAAGTTAACTTCAATCTGAAGTAACAAGGGGCTATTTTTTATCCGTCACAAAAGAGCAAGTGATTAAAATCAGAGCAATTAACTGTCTTGATTGTTGTCAAGGGGCTTGTCTTGGGCCTGTTAAGTAGCAATGCCTGAGTAGTTATAAAAACAATTACCAGCCATGTAATCATCCTTGATATTTCATCAAAGGGTGGCAGAGAATGAAATGACTGTCTATTTATCTGAAGACATATCTGTGAATATCTTGTAAAAAATCAGTCTGTCATCCTGGTAGAGGGTCGTCCTATTACCTCGTTAGTTCTGTGCACTAGTACGTGAGAAGCATTTGTGGAAGACGTGGATTTACACGAAATAAAGCATGACGCGACCCATTGTCTTTTAACAGGACAGTGTTTTAATGAGTAACCAACGCGTCGTTTTCTGATCTCCATAGCTCACAATAGTGACAACAGCACAAGCAGGTGACTATCCTCACCACCTCACTTCACTGTACCGCTATGTGGAAGCACTGCAGCCAAATAAGCGTAATACTTTTGTGTGATTACTGAAATCGCCACGATAAAACTTTTACTAATTTTACTAATTTAATTAAGTATACTTTAAAACTTGGAAATGTTTAATTCTACTTATATTTGTTCTTGTTTTTCCTGCGATTACTGAAACTCGCAAGTTGATTTGAACAACCATCCTATTACCTCGTTAGTTCTGTGCACTGGTGCATGGCATGCATTCGTTGATGACGTGACCTTACACTAATTAAAGCACGGCGAAGCCTTCCCTTTTGACAGGAATGTGCTTTAAACCAGATGAAGCAATCCGCGCAGAGCTTTACGAGAAATAGAGAAAATAATTACATTGGCTTTGCCTCGCCAATATTATCTGCTCTATTTCTCGTAAAGCTCAGCGCCTCGTAGTTTATACCTTATCAACCCACAGGACACGGAAAGGCCCTTCTGATCATATTTAGAACTACCGTGCCATCTGAAACGCCTTATTTTTCTCAAAAGTACTAACCCAATTTCGCTTGTTTTCAATGATGCCAAAACAGAAGTAGTTCGAACACTTTATCTCTCGTTTTTCTAAAGATGCAGAAAAATTAGAACCATAGAAATCGGCAACAGCATGGTCACTGTAAAAGTTGAGATTAAAAACCCAGTAGTTAATTTTGATAACCTGGTGCGATATGGCCGCCTACATCAGTAAAAAAAATGCAGAGCCATTTTCTATGGTCTTTAAAAAATCTCCAAACTATCCCATATCCTTGACAAGGAGAAAAAAACAGTCCTGATGTTGTTGGAATTCCTCACCAAAGGTGTGTTGCCTTTGTGAGTGTGCGTCTGCTTGTGTAGATAACAAATGTACTGATGGGGTCGGAGGTCTCGTCCTGACAGAGGTGTCCCGCCTTTATATAAGTGTATCTTTCTACAGGTCACAACGAAGATATGCGTGTCGATTTCAGTAATTACACAGAAGTATTTTTATGTCTCATCCATCTCAGTGTACCACAAACTTTTATAGTCTCATTCATAGCAAGAAAGAAGGCAACAAGGAATATTGATTGTTCGTGATTTGGCCAAACAAGGCCGCTTTTATTATATAACCCCTCTATCCTAATCGTTTTAACAATAATAACAATGTAGCAAATTGTTGCCTGTATTAAATGTTATGGCCTTAGGGATAAAAAGTATATATCGAATATTCAATAAGACTCATCATCCTAAAATTATGATGCGACGAGTCAGCAAAAAGTTATTATTTACCAACAATTTTGCACAAATTTCATTTGCGGGGTTTTCAGTAATTACACAGAAGTATTTTGCTTTTGTGGCTGCAGTGCTTATAGAAAGCGGCACAGTGAAGCAAGGTGGTGAGGACAGTCACTTTTGTGTGCTATGGTCACTTATGTGAGCTATGGAGTTCAGACAACGTCGTGTTGATTGCTCATTAAAGCACTCTCTTTTCAAAATAAAAGACAATGGGTTGCGCCGTGCTTTATTTCGTGTAAAGTCACGTCATCCATGAATGCGTTCCACGCACCAGTGCACAGGTCATAGGACTTCCTCTAGCAGGATGACAGATTGATTTTTCACAAGATATTCACAAATATGTCTTTAGATAAATAGACAGTTATTTCACTCTCTGCCATCCTGTGATGAAATCTCAAGGGTGATTACATGAATGGTAATTGTTTGCATAACAACTTTGCATAACTGACACTTAACAGGCTCAAGCCAAATCCCCTTGACGGCAATCAAGGCAGTTAATTGCTTTACTTTTAGATCCCATTTCCAGAGATTAGATCGATCTACTTTAGATCGACCTAACTCCCTGGGGGTTCACGCTAAATAGCTGTCAGCCGAGCGGACACGAAAGTTAATTACCCCCTTACAGCTTGTAGTAGGCGGGACGGACATTTAAGCCGGATTATCTGACAGTAATTTAGTGAGACTCCCCGCGGGGATAGATCGATCTAAAAGCTCTGGGAATACAGCCTTACACTTGCTCTTTTGTGACGGATGAAAATAGCCCCCTATGAATGACTTGTTACTTCAGTCTGAAGTTAACTGAGGAATCTCCAGGAGTAGCTCCTACAGAGTGGGTGCGATGCCATCTGCGCGCGGGCAGATTTAATTGCTTCCATCTGGCCAAAAGTCACGGGGTACCTTTTTCAAGTTTCCCTATAATAGGACTGTCACCCTGGTAGAGGGTATAATAGGACGGTCACAGGACTTTTAGCACTTATCAACTTACGATTTTCAGTAATTGCTCAGGAAAAAGATGAAAAGAAATTAGTAGAAATGAACATTTCAAGTTTTATTTCATATATACAGATATAACAATAAACAGAGGTTACTGCCACATAAGTTAGCTTTCATAGTTTACAATGTATATTTCCTACACCTTAAGGGTGATTTCTTTGAATTTTTGACGTATACATCTTAAACAATGTCTGAAGAAATCTGAGTTAAGGATTAAATATGGGATGGGCCAGTGGGGATGTTTCAACGTGAGGAACGTACTGTCAATATATATATATATATATATATATATATATATATATATATATATATACAGGGTTGCTACTTAATATTCTGTAGGTATCCCTGTACCTTTTATATGCAGTGCTTCCACTTTTTTGTGTAACAAAGCAAGTAAGTTGTATTTTGAGTACTGTTTTATACTGGTGGTGGGAAGGGGGCATCATCCTCGCTTCATACCGGATCCATGTGCTGATTGATGGTAAGATTCTCTAAAAGGTCTCCATTTCATGTTTCACCGCTAGATGTCGCGGACTGTGGTTTGTATACCGGAGGCGTCACTCGTAAAAGTCGATAAACAGTTGGGCTTCGTTCACATGCAATGTCTATTTTCTAAATTCTATTTTCTATTTGCGGCATGTCTTATGATCACGGTCTGTGCACTGAATATCCCGCCGCGTAATTACTGGCAGCGCGAGCAAGTTACTATAAGTTACTATAAGTAACTGGCTCGCGCTGCCAGTAATTACGCGGCGGGATATTCAGTGCACAGACCGTGATCATAAGATAGCGCGAATAGAAAATAGAATTTAGAAAATAGACATTGCATGTGAACGAAGCCTTGATTTGGGTCAGGTGTTTGGTCTGAAAGAAGAAGGCGTTCTCATACAGCTAAGGTATTTGGGACATGTACAGTAAACGTGTAATTTTTTTTTGTTTTTTTTTTAATGTTTTTTTAAAGATTATTTCTCATGTCGATATTCCTCTTTACGATATTTTAAATCCAAGCCGATGATTATGCATGTATCCAATACAGTCTTCCTTAATCAGTAGTAGATATGCTCACGTAGTATCACATAGTGAGTGAATGTTGGCAGGCATCCAGATGAGTAATAATGAATAATATATTACTGCATGAAAAATCAGCTTTTGTATATCCTGAAAGGTGCTCACACCTTTTCTAGACCTTTCGCATTTTTAAGAAAGGCGTAAAAAATTATCTTTTGTATGGCTTTTGTGTATATATGTGACAGGAATTAAACATTGCCCACTTTTCTTTACCTTTTCCCTACACAAAGTTAAACTTTCATACACCTTTGGCAGCAAAAGGTGATTTTTTGCTTGAAGAAAATGTATCCTAGTTTTTAGCATCCATGGGCTTTTTGCGTGCTTAGAGGGCCAGGAAATGTTCTCTAATGTTTAATGTATACGTACTATATGCAAAATGCTTAAGTTTTACTATACAGGCGTAACTTCCTGCTCTTGTTGGAATAGTTTTCCTGTAATCCTCTGTCAAGTGAATGCTTGGCATACCCAAATCTTTGCCTTTTGCCTTCTGAAAACATAGGATATGTTTAATGACAAATTTTGTTTTGGGCAACAGTAATTTAAATGCATAGGCCCCTATCAAATACGATAAAAATGTCAACGTTTAAAGCATTTTTGAAACTACGCACTTTAAGCCATCAAAATGCTTAAAACAGTCATCTCACAACGTTAAATATTTCCTTTCATTTCATATTTCATATTTTTTTCAAGTGTATTGCGCTGTGTTGCGCTGTATTGCGGTGTATTGCGCACTTCAGCAACACCGGTCAATTGCAAGGAATGCAGGTCTATGGGATAACTACAGGCCAGTTAAATACTGTACATACATGTACAGAATCTTAATACTTGTACGTGTGATCATCCTTTTCGACACAGGCTGTTCTCCATGCATAAAGGCAACCTTGGTCGTGCCACAGGGGTTGTTTGTTCCCTTTAATTTGATTGATTCAGATGTTATATTTGGCCTACCTGATGCCTTTCCTCATTCTCTTCATTCTCATCAGTTTAAGAAACTTCGCTACAAATATCATCTTGCAAAGAAGTCGACCATAGCCAATACGTTTGATTGAAATTATATATTTTATGACCTGCCTCCAGCCCGCACATTTTAAACCGCCTAGCCGTTCGCATGCGCAGATAGTCAGTCATTTATATTTTTCGCACCGATTCTCTAACAATGACATAACGCATTATAAGTGGCAAGAGGGACGCGTACGGTGACATGTTGCCTTGAGTTTTACTGAAGATTAAAACAGCAAGAGACAATAATATACATGCACTAGGCACGGGACAGCAGGTCAACGGCTGACAAGGTAGGTGAAACAGCCATTTCAGTAAGGTTCGCACAGTTTATGGGGGTATGTTAACACAAATTTAAGCGAAGGCATGCTTCTAGGATTAAGGCGGAAATCTTTCTCGAAACACTGTTGAAGGGTTAATTTAGCTGTCTGAAGAAAGGAGTCATACAGTGTAGTGAATGTCATTGGGTTTCAGCTATTGTCTGTTGTATTATAACGTTTGACCAGTTACTCACTGCGACCTTTGGAATGTCAAGGTCACGAGTCAGACCCCTGAGTTTTGGACATTTTGGTATCAAAAAAGGGACGAATTTTCATAGCGATTTTAGTAAGGCATATGTTTCTAGTGTCCAAATATGTGTGATAGCATTCTCAATCTGGTAGCGTTTTGTGTGCTACAAAACCTTATATAACCCACCCCACCAGCAGCAGGTGCTTTTTTTTCAAATAGGGGTACAGTGTAGGAGAAAGAAAAAGCTTATTTATCAGTATGGTTAAAGGTATATCAATGTATTATATGTCATTATGGAGGCAAGGAATGGGACATGTAATTTTATAAGTCATAGATGCATGGCAATTAGACAAGGGTCAATGATAATGGGTCAGAGGTCACATTTTGTGATTTTTTTTTTATAAATTAGAACCAAAAGGTTTTTTAAAAAACATTGTTTGAATAAATTTTTGGGTATTTGGTGAATTATTTCTGCTATAGTCTAATGCTTATAGTCTAATGATTATAAAAAAAATTGGAGCTCCATGTGTCTTTTTTCTGGGGATCGTCTCTTAGGAGAAACCACACTATCCTTGACAAAAAATGTTTTAATATCACTGCATGGTCACATCGTTGTTATGTTAAGTTATGTCGGGATTTGCATTAACTGCAGCAAGTCAAAACCCCATAAATAAATAAATAAATAAATAAATAAATAAATAAATAAATAAATACCAGATGACACCTCTCCCCTACCTGTTTGGCTGTAGTATAATTTTACATTGGGTCACCTACCTGGTATTGTTCATGGAAGAAAATAACAAGCTTAGAATATGCAAAAAATTAAGAGATATGTCTCTGAACCTTACTTTAAAATGAAATACCACAACCCCATAAAAAGGGCAAAAATGAGAATCAGTGATCACAACTTAGATCTCGAAAGAGGGCAACACACAAACACACCTCAAGACACCATTGTCATCAAAGAAAATGTCCTCAAAGTGAGATGGTAGAAGGTGACATTTATTTCTCTCCTGAATGACGCAAGTTGAGAGAAAATTACTGTTTTTATCTATAACAGAGGTAAATTCGCAGGGTTTGGCAGACAGGGTCAGACTGATTTGCGTTATCTTAAATCCACACTGCGACTGCTATTATAATGACAATGACGATTATTTACAGCTTTCAAACATTTATTCACCGACTCTCTTTCACGTACAAATTTACGAGTACCTATGCTCTATTTCTCAATGCTGATTACGCATTAACTTGTTTTTTTGTTTTTTTTTCATTGTATTTTACGTGATCACAAGGAGTTTTTCACTCTCATCTTGCAAACCACCATTCAACATTTCCTTGTATGGTAATTACTAAGAGACTTGTTTTCAATTTAAAAAATTTCAAATATTATTTGAATTACTCATTCTTGGGCCATACCCATCCTTAGTTTGCACAAGTTTTACACGATTTAGAAACTTGCAAATCAATCTAGAGAAATTAACTAATCAGATCAAACTATGTGTGGCTTTGATCACGAAAACAATTTCTACACTTGTTGACTCTTAGAAATTTAACTTAGCGTATCGGTCANTCTGACCAATGCTGATCTTCTCCGGTTCCCTTTATTATGTGTATATTTATTCCGTGTACCAGTTGAAGATAATACACACTAAATTTAGTGTTTAAATACAAAAGACGAGTGTGATAATTACAGGGTAACTGAACGATTGTAAGCGAAATATGGTGACTGGCCTAATCCCCCTGTCGACTTGGTTGGCACGTCTCTTTTGAGTACTTATGTAAACAACCTATCTCCCTCAGCGAAATGTCCTTTTGTTCACTAAATTTTGGTACCACGAGCTAGCTGTACGTTTAATCCGTCAGCTGTTACAAGCATTTCATTTAATTTGCTGTGTCGCGTGGTCAACAATTGGATAAAATATTATTTCTTTGCACATGGTCAACAGTTCACCCTGCCTCTTTTTATGGACAGCCATAGTGGAGTGAAGGATACCTCATAAATTGCAGATATGTATGTCCGTGACATTACAAAATAAGAGATTTCATCCGTGCACTTATATAAGGCATGTGTAACTGACTCAAATTTTGCATTAGCTTTGAATGATAATTAAAAGTAAGTTTTTTTTTTTTTTTTTTTTTTTTTTTTTGCTACATGAAACAGACTTAGGGGTTGACAGAGGAACAAAATAAGTGAAAAGAAGGCAGACCATTTATCAGTAATCACTCTGCCCCCATGATATCTTCGCTACATCCATAGGTTAATCAAGTAAACCAAGGAGATTCAGTCTTTGTCCATTACAAGAAGGCAGCAAAATGGACCAAGACCTAAAGACTGAAGTAGGTTTTGTAGCAAATATAACCACATACTAACCACAGTCTAACCTAAGACAATGTTGAATGCTTTAATGTATTTTGTCAAACTGAACATTTTGCTTTTGCTACTAGTAAAGATATCCATCAGTTTGATAAAAACATTTTATCCATCAGTCAGTAATAATTAACCTTAATATCATAATCCCTTCCAACCAAATTTTTTTACCATATTAATAAAGTTAGCATTTTCTCTCCCATATCCCTACTATCAAATATGGTTATTTTTACCGCTACATTCGCAATCAATTACATATTTTTCTGAAATAAGACACTTGAGGCTCCAAATTTTCTTCATAAGCATTTAACAATAGCACGGTCACAAATCATTCACCAAGTACATTTATTCAAACAATGTGGTTCTAGTGTATGAAAAATCCATAAAAGCTGACCTCTTTTGATCTGTGATCTATTATCAATGACCCTCAACTTTTTGTCATGCCTCTATGATTTATGAAATTAAATGTCCCATCCCTTGCCTCCATAATGCTTATATCTTTTACCATACTGATATAGCAAGCATTTTCTTTCCCTTACCCCTATCTGAAAAATAGCACTTGATGCTGGTGGGGTGGGGTTATATAAGTTGTGATAGCACATAAAAAGCCAACAGATTCAGAATTCTGTGACACATATTTGGACACTATAGAGACATGGGCCTTACTAAAAATAACTATGGTCACGGTTAAAAGATGAAAAGACATAAACAGTTGTACAAAACAAATTGTATTTTTTTAAATAATATTTCCTATTTTACAGTTCATATGCACCAACAGACTACAAATGAAGGCAATGGTGAGATATAAAAGAGGCTTGTTTCTTTAGACTATTATCCTTGTCTTGGTGGCTCGATTTTTATGGGGGAATCTCAGTAACTTGGTGAACTACAGCAGACTGCCCAGCGGCAACGGGGACACAGAGTCACAAAAAAATTAAAAAGAGCGAATTCCAGGATAGGAGCCGAGAACAATGGCTAGCTTGAGTCCCTAGGTCAACATTCTGACTTGTACAAGTAGCATCTAACAATATTATGCATTGCATATTACAAAATTCAAGGAAAATAACGCGATCTGTTGTCTTTTACATGTAAATAACGGGAGTGATGAATATGACTTCGATACAGGTCAAGTGCGAAAACCAGCTTGATCGGAATATTTTTAAGTAATACACTTGGAGTTCCATAACCAGTCTGATCGTTTTTTTCCCCAAGGTTTTTGCAGTTTATTATTATTATTATTATTATTATTTATTCTTTTGTGATATTTTCATATTTGTCATACTGGCATTTTCAATTTGAACTCTCATGGGCCTGAAGCCATATGTTTGTTACATGTACATATTCTTAATATCCGTGATTCCTCCATATGCTTGTTACATATTCTTAATATCCGTGTTACTTGTTGTGAATAATTGAAATTAAATGTTAATATTGCTGTAAAGCACCACGCCCACGTCCGCACCAGTGTATCTGACGGTCCTCGTTTCCACCCGCCTTGCACCATTTTGTGACATTTTAAAACATTTCTTTAATTTGTTTTCAGGTGAAAAGAAGAAAAGGGTAAAAGTGCAGACGCCACAGACAAGTAAAAAGCATGGCTATGAAAAAAATTAGTCCGGCAGTTCTCATGGCAGTCATTTTAGTTGTTTGCTTTTTAACAACGTATTTTAATTATGTTCGTGAGATGAAATCGAATCGTTTAACTAAAAGCTCGACCAGTATTTTAAGAGAACCCCCAAACAGAAATATTATAACAGCAGAATTTATTAAACGTCTGGGAACCGGGAACATAGATTCCGTAGACGAAGACCTTCTAGAAAACTTAAGAGTGAAATGGATTCTTCCTCCTTCCAAGCTACCCTACAATCTTTCCAAACCGAACGTAACATACTGGAATCAAATTGGACAATCGAAATTGGTGGATAAGATTCTGAAGCAACGCTACAAAGGATTCTTCGTGGAATCAGGAGCATTTGATGGAGAGGTTCATTCTAATTCTCTCTTCTTCGAGATTTCACGAGACTGGGATGGGTTGCTTGTTGAACCAAACCCGTGGTTATTTGAAGTTCTGTTGAACAAAAATAGGTAAGGATTTTTTTCAAAAACAGATAGGGAGCAGCCATTGTCATTTTAGTTTAGATGATACCTAGATGGTTCGTTTGCATCATTAGTCACTTTTAAAATCCTCGTCATTGTTAAGTCATACATTGTTTTTAAACGGAATTTAAAGAGGCTCTCTGGAATCTACTCAAAATCAACAACGGACAAGAACTATTTCACGAGAAATTCATTCTCTGTCTAAAAATGTTTTATTAAATAAAATGGTTTGCATTTTATGAATTAATAATATATTTAGTGTCTGGGTATTATTTTTTTCCTGGATAACATACTTTTATCAAAAATTTTACTTCTTTTCAGGAAAGCGTACGTTTCTAATAAATGCTTAGCAACGGGCCGTGGTCCGACAATGGTTGATTTTACGTTCGCAAAGCAACTTGGGGGAATACTAGAAAAAAGCCATGTAATTCCTAAAAGGCAACAAAGCCTTATAAAAGGAAAAAGTCGCATACAGTGTTTTCCCATTCGCTCTCTCCTGGCCGCCATCGGTCGGAATCACGTGGACTACTTTACCTTGGACGTAGAGGGTGCCAAAATAGAAATCCTGATATCGTTTCCATGGCAACACGTCATCGTTGACGTATGAACTATAGAGTACGGAGTTCACAGCGGAGGTCCTGATACGCCAAAACGTGAGAAAGCAATCAGGGAGATATTAAAAAATACAGGACTTTACAGGGAAGGTGCCATTCTAAGAGGCCAAGATATAGTGTTTGTTAGAAAGGACGTGCCACAATGAATATGTGAGCAACTGGAACTTTTAAACTATTACAAAATCTTGTTACGTCATATAATACTAGAAAACGTGCGAGAATACGTGAAAGGTGTATTACCTTTTAGCAATAAGGATGAAACTCGTGGAAAAAAAACACAGCCAACATACAGTCTGTTCGTAAAATGTTCTGATTCAATTTAGGAAATATATTTTATTTCACATTTGTTATTTTAATGTTTTTTCATACGAACTAGCAACTTTCTAAAAAAGGTTTATCAACATTTCCAAGTAAAACAAATTTAATTCTTCATTTCTTTTTATAGAATAATAAATTATACTGATACCATACTTTAAAGGCTTCTAGCAGAATTTTCTCATACGTGTAGCCTGTACATGTAACTCGAAAGCATGTCTTAGTAATTACTATTCTTGAGCAAGTATTATTTTTTCAATTCAGCCAATACATATAAGCTTTTGTGTTCCACACGTGATAGAGCCCCACATGATAGAGAGTCCTGTTCCTAGGTAAGTAAGCCTTGGCCTAGATTTTGACCCACTTACGTCAGGCTAACCCTAACCGGCATAATGTAATGGAGGGTGGACTTTCTGTTACACGGGCCCTCAGTTTCCTCACATAGGCGTAACATAGCCTTAAAACGCAGACCGTCAATGCCTTATTTAATCACGATATTTTCTTTCCAATCTATTTTCAGTTGACCGTAGAAATAAGTCAAAAAGCAAGGACGCCACAGATAAATTAAACAGACAAGATGGCGATGAACAAATGGGCAGGTGCTGTCCTTGCTGTTATTATCCTAGTTGTTTGCATTTCAATGATTATTTTTCGTCCCGTTTGTGAAATGAAATTGGGTCTTTTATCAAAACACTTGAGTGATTCTATAAAAGAACGTCCATACAATAACAGTTTGACCTCAGAATTTATTAAACGTCTTGGCACCGGGAACATAAACGCCGTCAATGAAAACCTTTTAGAACACTTAAGAGGGAAATGGATTCTCCCTCCTTCCAAGCTGTCCTATAATCTTTCCAAACCAAAAACAACATACTGGGACCAAATGGGGCAATCAAAATTAGTAGATAAGATTCTGAAGCAACGCCGCAAAGGATTCTTCGTGGAATCAGGAGCATATGATGGAGAGGGTCATTCCAATTCTCTCTTCTTCGAGATTTCTCGAGACTGGAAAGGACTACTTGTGGAGCCAAACCCGTGGTCCTTTGAAGTACTTTTGAACAAGAACAGGTGAGGGTAGTTTACGAGTAGAAAGGAGATAGTCATCGCCTCTTTAGTGTAGCGGTGATGCATGTGCTTTGTTGGATTTTTTGACTTCCAGTTGTCACAGTGCCTGATTCATTTTTCTTCAGGAGCAGATTAAGCGTACAGCGTTTTTTCCCATGCACACATTCTTTTGTCTCGTAGTGTTAAGAGAAGATGGCAGTCTCTCAGATTAAAAAAGTGAATAGAATGTGTCAAAGTGATTATTATTATTATTATTTGAAATAGATTGAACCACCAAGCTTCAAATTCGCGTCAATATGAATTTGGCATGCTGCTTTCTACGCTCATCTAAATTATATACTTAACGACGATCAAAATGTGCATTCAAGATATAGTATAAAAGTCTTTACTGATCGACATGTTCGTTTTGCTGATCTTGAATATATTACATGTGCCAAAAAAGTTCGTTTATTTTCTCGTGACCTGGCTAATATGTCTTATTTTAAATTCTTTCCAGGAAAACTTACGCTGTAAATTCGTGCTTAGCAACGGGAAGCAGTCCCGCAAAGGTTGATTTTACGTTTGCTCAGGAGATAGGAGGAATACCGAAACACAGCCATGTAATTCCTAAAAGGGAACAAAACTTGATACAAGGAAAAAGTCGCATACAGTGTTTTCCCATTCGCTCTCTCCTGGCCGCCATCGGCCGAAATCACGTAGACTACTTTACCTTGGACGTAGAGGGTGCCGAAATAGAAATCCTCAAATCGTTTCCATGGCAACACGTCACCGTGGACGTGTGGACGATAGAGTACGCAGTTCACGGCGGAGGTCCTAATACGCCAAAACGTGAGAAAGCAATCAGGGAGATATTCAAAAATACAGGACTCTACAGGGAAGGTACCATTCTGGGAGGACAAGATATAGTGTTTGTTAGAAATGACGTGCCACAATGAACAAGCAATCACGAGCAAGTTACAAATGGAACTGTACTTTATATGAACTTTTCACGCGATACAACACGAATGATAGCGTTTCTCAGAACGTACTTAAAAAGAGGAGATCAGCAATACGTTACAAATTAGATTGTTCTGTTTAGTTTTCACGTGATACAATATAATGTACTGTTTGATGTTTGTCAGGAAGGAATATTATAGTGAAAAAGCAGCCATGCAGCCGGTGTACATGTATATCTTGAATTTAGCATTCAGCGGGATAATGTTTTTGTCGGTATATATGTTTATAAACATGCTTAAAATTAATATCGATACTGGGGCACCACATTTATGTAGGTTTTGGGACATTAATTAATGAAATCATAAAATAGTTTCTCAAAACAATCATGGTCCTCATGCTTTTCTCTATATAAATTGCAATTACACTCTGTCATCATGGGGCCTTTTACTGAGGAACCTGCAGTAATCCAGCCCAAAGGAGGTACAAAACTATAAAAAAGAAGACCGTTCCAGTTCACGTCAAACCAGGATATAAAAGTAGTAAGTCACATAAATGAGGACGTGTGAATAGGCCAGTTTTGCAATAAAAAAGTAACACATAACCAAATGTTTTCACATTCAAATGCTTTATTTTAGTCGACAAATTATATAACAGTTTTCTCATAACATGGGTAAGAAGTGACACAATATTCTACGCACTGAAAAATGCATTCACATATTAACATAAGCTAATAAAAATGTTACTAGCTGTATAGTATTTCACAAACCGGCCATGAATGTTGTTAATGAATACTTAAATACAGACTGATGGAACAAAGGCAAATAGTAATATATATGGTGATTTCACAAACTGGTCAATATAGTGGATCGCCCTTGCCCCGTCAGATTTTGTAGTTGATGCAATTATAAAAGTAGGCCTATTTGGCGTGAATATGATACGTGTCACTAAGGCTTTCTTTGTCACTTAAACAACATTCTCTCTGATCGTCATCAATATCATCATCTGGAGAATTTGTCAAGTTGCCATGGAAACAGGATGTCATTTGCACACTAGAATGGTTCCAATATTTGGCCAGGGCATCGTCCTGTAGCACAAAAAGAAAACTGAGGAAATTTTGTGAAGGCGAATTCACATGAACTCGACCAGACACTAACTATAAAAAGTTCATCACAATTACAATAGAGCAAAATACACTTATGTAGGTAGAATATGTTTGTGTTTAAAAAAAAACATTTATTTTGGTTCCAAATTTAAAGAATTTTGGTAGCTATGTCAAAAGCGAAAATACATTAAAAACTGCCAAAGATAACTGATACACACGTATTAATTTAAGATGTGAAACTCTAGATACACAAAAGTATGATTACCTGAAAGGTCACTGCTTATTATGTTAGGCCAGAGACAGCCTCAAGTTCACTGAGAAAATAAAATATTGCCACTGGTTCAGACATGCAAAGTGTAACGAACAGTAGCTGTGTTTAGATATCATTCCGAAATACATACCAATAAAATAGCCCTTTCATCAACATCTGTGTTCATCCGAGTGTACACGGATCTTCATCAATATCTGTTTACATCCAAGTGTACAGGAGGCGTCGTTCTAATTTCAGTATACTGTATATAAGACATGTGTAACTGACTCAAATTTTGTATAAGCTTTGAATAAGAATTAAAAGTTCGAGTTTCTTTATTACATGAAACTATGACTAAAAGACTTAGGAGTTGGCAGAGGTACAAAATAAGTGGAAAGACGGTAGATCATTTATCATTAGCAACCTGCCCCGTGATATCCTGGATTCATCCATTGGCTGTCAATTGGACCAAGGACCTGAGAACCCCCCCCCCCCGCGCGCGCGCGCGCACACACACACACACACACACACACACACACACACACACACACAGTAGATTCAGCCTTTGCCCATTACATAATTTCACTGTAACATATGCATCCACTTGTGTGGATGAAAATGACAATATGAATACAATTTTTGTGAATATGCTATTAAACAATCACGATGAGTAAGACTATTTACTTATTTACTAAAAAAACTGCCCCGTGATATCATTACAAGAAGGTAGAAAAACAGACCAAGCTCTAAAAACGTTTCATACCAAATATTATAGCCAAGACTTATGGAATAAAATGATTTGCTAGGTTTTATACTTACTGGTATATGAGTATGTTGGAAAAAACAGGAGCCCCCCTATCGCACGCAGGTTGGAAACTGGCAGATGACGATAAATAAACTTATAGCTACACATTATTATAAAAAGCAGGGCATATAATATGTCACCAATGAATTAATTATGGTGTTGTGTCTTTTCAGCACATGCTTAATCCAGTCTAACCTAAAACAACGTGGAATGTTCAAATGTATTTTGTCAAATTTATTAATTATTTGGTTAAACATTTTGTTTTAGCTATTAATAAAGATAACTATCAGTTTGATAAAATATTTTATCCATCACTCAGCCCAGTCAGGACTTGGGTACTAATAATAATTAATATTAATACCATAATCTCTCCAAAACTGAATTAAAATACATTCACTCTCTCACTATGTATGCTGTAACAAAAGTTTTGATACTCTCAATATGCCAATTTAGGTTCATGTATAAGATGGAAAAAATAATGTGGAAACCAAGCTACTAGCAGCAGCAGCGGTTTCTGGTCACATTTATGGTTATTTAGATACTAGACGTTCAGTAAAATAAGATATAATTTGATCTTCTTTTTAAATAAATGTTTACACTTCACAGTGACTAACATATATTATTATTAATATTCATTTCTTTTTTAAATGCGTTCTTTCAATTTCTATATTTTGCTTAGATGGAAAACTATTCATTGTGTGAACTGAATTGAAGACCACTTTAAACTGCTGGACCTCAGATACTGGTGTCGAACAGCATAACGTTAATTATGAGGGGTGTTGTAGCCTATTCGATCAGACGAATTATAAAATTGTCTTTTGTTTAACAAAACCTTTTAGTACTTAGCCATATATATTTTGTTAATAAGAGGTATCACCTAAAATCATTTAACACCCAAACCCAATATAGAAGCAGGGGCGGATCCAGAGATATTTTCTGACAGTCTTCCAAATTATATTTGTTGGTCCATCCTCCATTTTGACCGTCTTCCGACAGAAAACATTAGATACCTGTCAATGTAAACTTCAAAATTACACCGTCTTCTGGAAGACCCGGAAAACGGCTTAAATCCGCCCCTGTAGAAGTGCAATTGAGGTCACAGGCATGCTCCTAAAATATTTAGTGCACAGATTGCAAACTGTCTGATTATTTAAGGGTCCTACGTGAAGAAGTTTGTAAAAAAGTTTCACTCTCCGTGAACTATGAATAATAAAAAATAATTCAGCTTCTATCCCAAAAAAAGGAACATACGTTACTGTCACGAATGCAAAAAGTTCAACTATGAAACGTTATATTCACTTTGAAAATTCAATTTCATCAAAGACCGTCACTCTCTTACCGACCGGAGAAATGCCACGCGGCATTATACTGGCACTGTGGCACAGTGTATCCGGGCTTATCATTATTTTGTAAGTGATTGGGATATCTCTAGTCACAGAAATAACACAAGTCTCAGTTAGTTTCCAGAGTCTGTATTGAACTATTTTCCCCGATAAATGAAACACCTAAACAGAGTCCGCTCATACAATTGGGCCATCTCCCCGTCTATCAGTTATGTCAGAATATTACGACGAACACTAATTGTCTCTCATCCATACATACACAATGAGTGGTATGTGTAACATCATAGGTCGCATTCAACGATCTTCCCATGTTAATGTACGATCTCAACTACCGCATCCACTCCCCTCCAGCGGAGGCTATTTGCGCGTCAAGGCAATGCAAACCTAACCACAACCGTACTAGCGTCCGGTAATGACCCGTTACAAACATGACCTGAGAAGTATGACATAAAATCCTGAGCGCCTTTGTTCTAGCAAAAGCGGCATTATTCATTGAAATATTAAATAAAACGCTAGTAAATCATTCCCGTTAAAGCATTTTAGGAAACAACGCGAAAACTATTACTGTGCTAAAAAAAAGTAGAAAACGCAAATTTACGAGCTATGTCGGTAGCGCTTAACGGCATTAACCGGAAGCTAAACTTTTTAACGTACGTAAAGCCCCTTTTACATACCATTATAGTAAACTTGAAACTTACTTTAAACTATAAAGTAGTAATTATTTACTATGCTTACTTTCCATGCTGTTTCGCTGGCCCGTTTACTCTAATTTTCCTCCGTTTTTCTTCGATGAGAAATTGACTACTGTATACTGCTCTACGTTAACTCAAAGACAAATGCGAGGTCAGCGGATGAGACTAAGAAAACAAGGGAATTTTAGTGACCAATAATAGTTGCTTTCGCTCATCAAAGAGATCTGGCCACCCTTGACGTCAGTAACCGCACCCAACCACTGTTAGAAAACAAAGGGACATCGGTCTCTCCCTTGTCCTCTATTGTGCTGCCCCTCACATCTATCCCATACTTACAACAGCACCTGTTAAACTGCCCGACATTTGCTTCAAGAGCACCTTGGCTGTCATCCTAGGGCGCATTCCCATAGATTTTAGATCGATCTATCCCCATGGGGAGTCTCACTAGTGTACTGTCAGATAATCCGGCTTAAATGTCCGTCCCGCCTACTACAAGCTGTAAGGGGGTAATTAACTTTCGTGCCCGCTCAGCTGACAGCTATTTAGCGTGAACCCCCAGGGAGTAGGTCGATCTAGATGGATCGATCTAATCTCTGGGAATGGGGTCCTAGAGTTCAATGGCTTTACGCATCTTATATGCGCGCTTACACGATTCACAATTGAATAAACGTGAAAAGTGCAGTTTTCCTTCAAACACACCACGGCGTATAGACCTATTAACTTTGATAGTTACTCATAAAGTGCCTGTCACATTCAGTTTTACGTGCTTTTCTGAACACATGTACAGCTGCTGATTGTACCACTACGGCACTATGTCTGCACGGACCAAAATCAACATTTTTCTATCATTCTTATTGTAGAAATTTAGAAATACACGTGGAAAATTAGAAATAGAGTTCCAATTGTAACATATACGTATTCAGGATTGCTTTTTTTATTGTGGCACATCCTTTCTGACAAACACTATATCTAGGTTCCTTAGAATGGTACCTTCCCTGTAGAGTCCTGTATTTTTGAAGATCTCCCTGATTGCTTTCTCACGTTTTGGCGTACCAGGACCTCCGCCGTGAACCAAGAACTCTATGGTCCACACGTCAACAGTGACATGTTCCCATGGAAACGATTTAAGGATTTCTATTTCGGCGCCTTCTACGTCCAAACTAAAGTAGTCTACGTGATTCCGACCGATGGCGGCCAGGAGAGAGAAAATGGGAAAACACTGTATGCGACTTTTTCCTTCTACCATGTCTTGTTCATCCTTAGGAATTACAGGGCTGTGCTTTGGTATTCCTCCTATCTCCATTGCGAAGGTAAAATCGACCACTGAGGGACTGCGACCCGTTGCTAAGCAGGTATTAACAGCGTAAGCTTTCCTGGAACGTAAGATAAACAG